GGGGGGACGGTTTCAATTTCGTGTCTGTTTTGCGTCGGCTTTCCCCCCCCCGTGCGCGAGGCCTGCGACCTGGCGTGGCGACTCCCCCTGTGTCCTTCGCGCGCGGGAGCTCGCGGGGCGTCAGTGTGGCGGGCCGTGCTGCCTGTCGGAGAGCGTGTCGTGTACAGCGTGCGGCAGCGCGGTGGCAGCGGCGCGCTGGACGAGCCCGCGCGGGGGGGGTGGGCGCAGCCAGTGCACGGAGGAATTCGTCTCAGCTGCGGAGAGAGGGGGCGTGGCGTCAGTGCTGACGCCAGGCGTCAGCTCTGGAGAGTGGGCGCGGGGGGGGCTCGGGCGGGAGGGGAGACGGCGGCAAGCTGACGGTGAGCACGTGTGCAAAAAGACGGCAAGAGGCTACTTAACAGCGCAGCCCTGTTTCCGCCCCGTTTCAGGCGTACACGTGCGCATCTTGGCCCCCCCAATGACAGTCCGGCCCCGGTGCGCCGAGATTTCGAGCCCCATTTTGTGCCACCCTCAAATATTGCCCGCCTGTACCATATACCCTTGCTACTACTGTACACTGCAACCTCCCCTCCCTTGGCCAACTGGTCTAGGGTATCCTTCCCTTCCCCCCACCCCTCCCCGCCCTCCCCCATTCGGCCGCCGGAGCTCGACTCGTCACGTGGTTTTGTTTGTCGTTTGTCTTTCTCCCTTCTCCCGTCTGTGCTTGTTGTGTCAGAGCCCGGGTTGTGTTCATTGGTGCAGTCCGTAAATATTGTTGGACATTGTGGCCTACTGTCTTCTTCTTGACTGCACTGCCTATTCGACTGCTGCTGCACTCTCTACCTCGAGACGTGACTGCAAGTGTAAAGTGCAGCATCGCCTCGTGGCTTTTTGTGCTCCTCCAGCCAGCAGAGCCATAACCGATTCCAGAATCGGTTACGTCGAGGTCAGCAAACATTAGCATCTCCAGTGTCGACCAGCGCGCATGGGGGGCGGGGAGAGCTTGGCGAGCTCGAGTGTGTGTCTCCCCCTCTCTTACAGCAGACTCACCAAAAAAAGTAAAAGTTAACATTTCGCACACTGGAGATGAAGCATGCGTTGTACTGTATGGAGCAACAGGGTGATTGCCAGCAGGACGCATTCCACACGCGTCTCGCTTACATGGGGGATTTGCTTGTTGCTGTTTTGCGCCATGAAGGTCCAGCGATGCACGGGCAAGGGGCGGGTGGCCGCGCCGGAGGGGCCGCGAGTTGGCGAGAAAAGATATTTTGGTGTGCTGGCCAACTTGTCCATGTCAGTCGCGGTAAGGGTGCAATTTTTGCATCTCACGCGGACCCGCTTGTCAAGTCTCACACCCGCTGGAGCCACTCTGACGCCCGCACGCGCCCGTTTCCATTTGTCGGCCCCCGCACTGACCGACTGACGACCCCATGCCCATGCCCCTACCGCCCCCCTTCTTCTTCCCTCCATTCCCCCCGCGGGGACCTCCGCGCCGCCTCTCATATCTCACCACCCGAACCCAACATACACACACCCGACCCTTGCACACGCCCCCAATTTCCCGATCTTTATGTCATCAAAACAAAATTCCCCACTTCCCTCTAATTTCCATTTAACCATCTCCCGTCCCCATTTCCTCCCCCCCCCCCACCTCCCCCCCCCCCACCTCCCAGGTTCCCCTACTACTACCCGAACCACAACCTACTTCCCCCCAATCTCCCATCACTTCTTCTCACCATTCGCCCTCTACACTCCTTAACCTCCCACCCTTCCCTCCCGCGCATGAAGCTCCCGCTGTCTCGAACCTCCATTACTCACTCCACACAAATGACTTGTCGGCTTCCTCCTGCCCAAGCTCACAATCCCGTTTCCGCCGAACAATACAACATCCTCCTCGCCCGCTTCAACGAACAAGTCCTCTGCCGTTCCCGCCTCGAGTCCACCCTCGTCGCCGCCCGCGAGGATAACGACTTTCTTCACCGCCGCATCGCAGACTTGAGCTCCTCGCAGCCCACCACCTTGCACCACCAAGCTTCTGCCCACCCTGCTTACACTAGCCAACCCCCTACACATCACTACTCACAGCCCTCATCCGCCGCAGAGTCCAAGGACCAAACGCATATGGACATCACCCCTTCGTCGGACAAGCAAGAAAACATTCTCCCGTCCGAGGACTCTAAGGGTCACGACAAGGAGATTCTCTCGCATTGCAGTGACATTTCTGGCTGCAAGAGTGCTGCCAGGATGCCCGACATGAAAAAGCCCGCGTCCCGCAAGTCGGCTACCGTCACCGCTACCGGTGGCGTCTCTAAGAAGACCAAGTCGAAGAAAGAGCGTCAGGCGAAGGCCAAAATCCCAGGACAGTCGCGGTACTGGACTCGTGAGGAGCATCAGCTCTTCTTGGAGGCCCTGAACAAGTACGGACACAAGAACCTTCGCTCCATCTCTTCCTACGTCGGCACTCGCAACATGACTCAAGTTCGCACCCACTCGCAGAAGTACTTTATGAGGTTGATGCGGGAGGCCAAGCGCCAGAACCCTGTCGGGGCTAAGCCGGCCACTGCGTCGGGAGATGAGGAAGCGTCTGGTGCTGACGATGGCAGTCGTGCTGCCTCTTCCACTGGCAAGGGTGCGACTTCAGCCTCTCGAGGTGAGAACTCCAAGGCCGCAGTTGCAGTCAACAACAAGGAAGCGGATACTGGGGACAAGTACTCTGTACCCAACACATGTGGGATGACTCTACTCTGTTTGGTTGGGGAAGACACACTTGCCGCCAAGACGAGCTAAGCTCTGTCACGGTGCACGAACAGAGCTAAGAGGCTTTGTGATACATGACAGTATAAGAAGTTTTGCTGACTCTGGTGAATGTATCACATCTTTGACTATCAACTTTGGGTTTAGAGTTATGTTTTGACAAGATGGGAGCTTCAGTGGCATGACATGTGCACGCCTCCTCTCCTCTGTCGGTTGGGGAGCGGGGGGGTTACTTGGGAAAGTGCACACACAAACGTCATGCGCCATGCAGGGCTTGAAGAGGGGGTTGTGAAACGGAACCTAATTGCGTTTTTCTTTCAACAGACGCTATGTATTTTACTTTGGAATGGTTGATTGACATGACGGAACATTGATTGTTTATTTCCATATGGCATGTACATCTGCGCGTGCGTCGAGGTCCGGTATATACCGAACGTCGACGTTGGCTGCGCGATACATGTCGGAAATAGTTTTTTTCTTCTACAACTAGAAACACGCACGCACACTACTGATACAACTTTTTGATTTTTACACTGAACATCACTACTTTTACTACTTTGACGAGAGGAATCTCCAAGGGATGCATCTCCTTGATGGAGCATAGGCTAAGGATTAGTGGACGGCAATTGTGCGCCGTCGAGGAGCGGGAATAACATAAACTTTGAAAAGCATGAAGGCGAGTTGTTGTGCCCTTTGTTACTGGAAAGCGGGGCTAAAGCGGATATGGCGGTGTGGTGCAACGTGGTGCGGTGGCGATAGGAGGGTGTGGTGACGGGGCGGGGATTTGGATTGGCGGGGTTTTTCTGTATAGTAGAAAAACGGAAATAATTTCAACAAGCACGCAGGACACTGGGGAAAGGCACGGGGGGAAAATCGGGGAGATTGCGTGATTACACCGGGGCAAGTCCACCACGCCCTTGCGGACACCCTGCGCAAGCACACACGTCGTGGTGATCGGAAAAAGAGAAACTGAAAACGGGCAGAAAAGTTGGTGAATAATATATTCATTGAAAACTCGTCGGAATATAATACTGTACGTTGAGCGCCCTAATGAATTTGAGCAGGCCCGGCAGCGAAAGTGTTAGTAGGGCGCGTGGGCCGTCGCGACGACGACTGGCGGGGGCGGGGGGGAGAGGGGGGGAGGGGGGAAAGGTGTGAAAGGAAGTTCGGATGTGTGTGTTGTGCGTGCTGCAATGTCTGCTGGGCGGTGCTGTTCCATTTGTGTGCGTGCGTTGTCCGTGCGACGTGTCGCTCTGCGCGTCGGCGGGCACGGACGGTCGCGAATGCATTTGTTTGTTAGTTCACCGCTCATTGGCCGGCTGCAACCCGAATCTCGCACCGGTTGGCGCCGCGTGGAACCGCGGCGTCTGACATCCTGCGATGTCAGCCCTGACAGGCCGACACACCCCTTGGGCCTCGGGGG